CCTTAAAAATGTAGAGTTGTCAATCTTGTCTTCGCTCTCTTCTTGTGTTGTAACTGCCGCTTTCTGTCGACGACTTCTCGTTCTTTTCAATGGACTGGCAAGCGCACTACCAAGGGACCGCTTGTTTCGAATTCCCATTCTTCCAGTCCAGGATATATATAGAGAGAGAGAGAGAGTTGGGAGAGGGTGGTTATTAGGCTGTCGTAGAATTGTAGACAATAAATTTTTACAGACGGATCAGCTGACAGTTGGAATATATCTGTCAAAAACGTTCTATCACGTTCTGTTATCTATTCATTCATAAAGTGTATACATTAGGCTACCTATTCCAAAGTATACAACTTTCAAATGGTTTATACGTATTGTATTGTTTGGTGCGGAATGAAGCATCGCCCAGGTAACTCAGAGTGTGGTGCTAAGCGCTACAGATATATCGATGCGGCGTACTTTGTGTTGCGAGAACTACATGGTAACTCAGGGTGTGGTGCTATATACTATGCTGAGTACTTTATGTTGCGTAAACTACATGCGTTTTATACCTGTCCGCCGCACAACCCATGTCATAGAATCACGGTGTAGAGGTCATATTACACAATATATTGGTAAGTGCCGATGCTAGCGGGATCATAAGGCTACGTCTCTTTTTTTGTGGCTGTTGATCACTACAGAAACACTTGATCGCCTGCGCAAATAACGGCATAGCATTACTTTATCAAGGCTTATCAGCTATCAAGATGGTCTGCAGAGGCAAGTTGGGATTGCAAATATTTTTCTTTTTCGAGACACCAACACCTTTAAAACCATGCGCTTGATCTATTTCGTCGCTTTATTTGGGGCTGATTCGACCCGTGAATAACCTAAGAGAGCTTGCTAAAATGTACAGCGGTAAAGATTCCATGTATGTTTTGGAAAAACATCGGGAAAATATCATTTTACTAGTATACGCGATCATACGGGCTTATAATGCTTTCAGCAACCTCATTCGTTCTATAGTCACCTGGGGTTAACCTCGAATGCGGTTTGGGATGTGTGCAACATGTTAAAAGTTGTTGGACTGTTGGTCTCCAAGGAGTGTGGCTAATTTTAGTTGTTTTTATCTCTTCTATGTAGTTTGTATCCCAAAGTACCAGAACATGTTGCTGTCCGTAGGTTCGCTAGTACCTTGGTGGAGCCTGTAGAATAAGGGTTCTACTAACAGATAATGTTGTACTGAGTACATTCAACTACACACGTTACTGAATCTCTAACATCTATTGCTTGTATCTTTCATTACGTAGACAGAAGTATATTCCCAGCTAAGTCGAAGACAATCTAGTTTCAGAGCGCAATAGTAAACTGTCCTAAGTAAGGGCTATTGTTCGTCAAGTTCCTTCACAACAATATCTTCTCTCTGGCTGATTGGTTTGCAGCCCCATCGTCTCCACAGTGGCCATGAACTCCAGGATTTGGTCTAGATAGCCTCACCAATATATTGGCTGGTGACGAAGATGGCAGTGAGGTTCGGAAAGGACGTTTTCGTCGTTGAGGGCATATCAGACAATGAGAACAATGTGTAGGAATGTAGTTTCCCTACCAAAAGATTGTTTTGAATGAGTGAGCTCGAATAGAATCACAGGTCGTAAATACCTAGGCTCAGTATACGGATCCACAATTCTATTTATTGATATTACATTTTTTATCTACTGTGAAACTCCCGCCGCAGTTCAATATATATTTCAAGTGGCATGCACTGTACGACGTACTCCTAGTATTAGAGCTACCATAACAAAGAATTGCATCTGAAAATTACCCGTTTACTGCACGAAAAAATAAATCTTTTTGGTACAGATCAAAAGTCGTTGCTACAGTTGTTCTGCTTGAACATTAGGATCATTTAGCTTCCTCCAAAACAGGATTACGATCACGAAATAAGAGATTCGTACTTGGTGGGGTTCCAGTCTGGGAAGAACTTAGTCACACTTTCCTGCACTTCATACTCCGTGCCGACCACACCACGACCCTCTTCGAAAATCGTCGAGAGGAACGCCACGTAGTCTGTGTCAAACTTCTTCTTATTTTCTTCGTAACTGATGTGGCGCACCTCGATCTTCTTGTTCAGCTTCTTCTCGACGAGATCGTGAATCTGCAGTGGTGACAAACGTTCAGCTTCGAACGGAATCTTGACACCTTTAAGCTTGCTCCTGGGAACCGTGGATAGGACGTGTGCCACGAAGCGACCCACGTCCACTCGCGCCGCAATACTGAAGGCCATCTCACCCTTACCCACCACGTTCATGTATCCTTCACTGTAGTGGTAGTCGAGGTAGTAGGGGAGGAACTCGGCAAAAAGGCCCGTATAAAAGACGGTTGACGGTAGCTGGGCTTCCGCGAGTAGATCCTGAACTACTTTCTTGGGGGCATTGGGACCCTCAGTCACCTTGACTCCATACTCAGCTGGAACAAAGAGCTCAATTTCGGCAGCCTTAGCTGCTAATATCACAGCTTTTTGCTCTGTCATGTGGAAGGACGGCACGGTAATGAGGGCGACTTCGCTTCCTATGAGAGCTTCCTTGAGATCAATCTCGTCGTCATATGAGACCTGAATGAGTATGGCTCCGCGCGTCTTGAAAGCCTGTAGTTCCGGCTTGGATTCGTCGCGAGTGAGGATGCTGACAGACACAGCGTCACCCTTCTTGAGTAGCTCGTCCACTATAATGCTCCCCACGCCACCAGCTCCTATGATGGCAAACTTAGTGAACTTAGTCATGACTTTAAGCTGACGTGAGATAGAGAAACGAAAGAAAGCTTGGTGACTTGCCGAGAGTTTTGACTTATGAAATCTTACTGCATGCTACCAACCGAATGGTTGTGCTCCCGTTTGACACGTAAATATCACATTAATCCCAATTAGCCCAAACATCGGACAAAAGCAAAGGACCCAAAGTTTGTTGCTGTATCAATTGCAGCAGTGTTGGATAGCACTATTGGAGGGGGTTACAAATCTATATGTTTCCCTCTTTCTTCGTATTGTGGTCTATCTGGTGTCCTTCGTGCTCTGGGCGGACGTAATATCATTAATAATACTAACAACCTTATTAAAACTCATTAAGAACCATGCATAAGGATCATAAATTGTTAATCATCACGTTCATGTATTCGTACAACCTAGCAGGGCAATCAAAATCGTACGAAAACAGATGTGGCAGATCTAGTACTGAAGATTTTCCGTTGGTTCAAACAAAATATACAACTGGCTTCCTGAGAACGAAAACGAAGCATCTCCCAATGATACAGTAATAGATAATCAAACAACTATATCTACAGCGCCGCTATTAATACCTCTACACCACTCAAACATAAGAAGCACCTACAGTCATCTTCCGCGCAATGGAACCTTTTCAGTCCACTTCCACTCGGTCAAGGTGGCAACCCCACGAAGACAGATAGGAGTATTCGTGATTACAAGTGGTCCACCACAGAAAATCCATTGGATAGAGTCCACTCAACTTGATCAAGCAATTACGGACAGAGATATGGCAATGCTTTTGATTCAAAAAGCGATAACGCGGTTAAAGCAACAAGTTCTACCATCTAACTATACGGTTAACGCTGTTCGGCGAACAACAGATACTTGGATCCGGCACGCCAATTCACGAAGGATCTTTCGAAGACATCACGTCCACAGCATGAAAATCAAGTCGGAAGTAGACGCCCCGGACGATTGCAGATCTCTTTAAGTAGAGCTGTGGAAATAAAGAATGTTAATTGATTGTACATTTTACAGCAACCCACCGAGGGGCGAAATTATAAACTGAGCTTGTTTTAGATATCAGGAAACAATAATCATACAAGCACATCCGTATCATAATCAGTGTACACATGGTACTTGAAGCTCATGTTCGTAAACAAAATATTGCTTGTAGAATAGTAATTACACAAAAAGTCAGCGTTCGCAATCTCTTCATGTTTAGTACATATTTGATTATTCTAAAAAAAAAAA